ATTTCGCGGATAAAACATACTGTTGTTCGGGCCACTCCAGGGTTATCTAGGATCCTCTCTTATATGACCCGAACAATAGTATGTTTTATCCGTACAATAGGAGTGTATCGAAATTGGAGCCTCCTATGGCGGAGCACGCCCATATATATATATGTGATAAAAATTTCAGTTGTGTACATTAAGAAAAAGTATAAAAAATATCATTAACAATTTATCTTGAGTTATTATGAAACACTCTTTATATGTCTGAAGAAAGCATTTGGAAATTTTGAGTCTATGACAACTTCTACTCTACTTATCAAGATCTATCTACCTTGAAAGTTTCATCATTTTTTTGACAATTCGTTTTCCAGAAATCTCGGAAAGAAAAAGACCTTCTTAAGTAAAGGAATAATGTTGTCTCAAAAAATAGATAGAACAAAATAATCTCTCTGTATTTAGCAAAAGCATCTAGATTGTGTTTCACATTTTAATCCTATAGGGATTACACGAACAGTTTTTATCTTTATGTAGATTGTTGGTTTTGATATTATTCTCACTGATCATTTAAAACCAATTTTACTTGAAGTTAATGCAAATCCTTCACTTCGAATTGATTTTGATACAGAAAATGAATCAGGTAAAAAATAAAAACAAAAACACATTGTCCATTAACAACAATATAATTGATTACTTTTTTTAGGAAAATTAATTTATCAATCAAGTCCAATTGATGAAGAAATTAAAAAGCCATTAGTATTAGAAACACTTAAATTAGCCTTACCAAAGAAAAAATTGAATACATTGTAAGTAGATTCAATAATACCAGATCATAAGTAAAAACTATGTGTGATAAGAGTATGACTTTTTTTTTTTTTACATGGATCTATCATAATAGAAAGTTGTTTTTATTTTGTTTCAATTTCTTTCCAAATGAAATTTTTGTACAAAACAATTTGAAACTTTTCTTCTATGTCAGTGTACATCTTAATTTTATAGTAAGAGATATATTCTAATCATTACAAGTCATTTTCTCTTCATTCGACATATATTTACATTTCCGGCTCTCATATAATTCATAATGCATATTTTTACTAAACACTAAAGATTAGATTTTAGTCTTAATATTTAGGCTGTTTCAAAGAATCGTGAAAATTTAATTTGAATTTGTTCTCAACTTCTGGTTAAATTATGTCTGCAATGATCTTAGTCTTTTATTAGATTATAAGAATGTTCTCTCAGTTTCTATCGACTTAATCATATATTTCTATGACTTCTTTCCAATATGTTATGTTGACACACAAGACGTAAGAATTCACGATTTATTAGTCTCAACTACCCAAGATAAAGATTATGATTGCCTAAGAAGGTATTATACGATGCCATGAGTAACCATATAAGATTATATACGATCAGATTTCTTTATAATACTTGACTCCAGAGTCACGATCGTGTTCTATCGTGTAGTGTGTAATAAGATACTATGTATATCCAACCGTCGTACGTGACTTTATCTTTAGAGGTGACGCCCACACTAGAGATTTACAGGATAAAAATAGCCCATATTGTACATCTGTTTGCTTTGCCGATAATATATCAGCTTTAGATGATCGGTCGGAAAACAACTATCAGTATGTCATGGTAGAATAACGTTGAGTCTAGGAGGAAGAATCTAATAACACAAAGTGAAGTGAGAATAATAGAACCAACGAAGTCATAATACAGGTATAATCCTAACAAGATCATTGAACGATGATTATTTTTGAGCAAAACTTTTTCGGTACGAATATTTGAACGAATAGAAGAAAAATAGTTATTGCAATGAATAGGAAATATAGCTACATTATTATTTGGTATATCAGCTACTTCATATAAGAGGTAATGAGTGACAAGACATATGAGTTTTGTTGATTAACTCAACTAGACATAAAGTCAATATGAGGTGACTTAGTTCAACATAAAAAAAAATGCATGTAGACATACGACATGTTATGATACTGATCATTTACTAGTATTTACTGTCATAACTAAGAATATTATCTTTACAGAAACGAACAAAATGTTCAAATTAATTATATTTCATTTGTTCATAATGTCTTCATTACTATTTGTCTCATTGTATTCTTGTTGTACAATGTCAATTTCAAAGTCTGCGAAAAAAAAAGGTGATGATGAATAAAAGATTCACACCTAACCAAGAGCTCTGTTCAATATTTTATGTGAATGTGGACTTATTCAAATAAAGTTTTGTTTTTTGTATACCTTTAACTTGTTCGTCATGGCGTGCCAAATATCAGAAGGCTTGTCTAATACTACACCGTGTTGTTCATAGGAAGCTTTTTAAAAAAAATTATATGTTAATACTTTAGCAATAAGAAACAAATAAATCATAAAAAAGTAATACTATTTTACTATTGATCATTTTTGAAGTTTCCCAAGTAGACTGTGATTAAGAGAGAGTGAGAAATAAACTTTTTAGGTTAGAGTAAGATTTAGAAATTGAATTTTACTTAGACAAGATACACTGTCATATATAGCAACCGTTTTTGATTGAATACGGTCGTTCACAGTCGCAGTTTTTCAAACTTAGCAAGGTTTTGGAAAATGAATAATTATAACAATAATCCAGAAAATTAAAATGCGAGATAAAATTTCAGACTTATACAAGTGAATTAGGACTGATTCCATATACGTATATATATCTTGTCAATATTTATATCTTATTTTCATCTATCTCATTCTAATATACCCAAGCAGACAAAACTTTCGAAAAACGCGTTTAAACGCACAAAAAAAGAGGCAAAATCCGAAAAAAGTGGGCGTTTTTGGCGCACAATCGCCGTCCCNGTCAAACTAGTGTGTATTATCTGAATGAATTTAGTTCTGATAAAACAAACAGTTTTTAGTTCCAAGTTATCTCTCAGTTTTTGCTGAGTAGACTACTTACCCTTAGAAGACCTTTTGATATGATTCTTTTGGAATATTTCTAATGAAAAGTATGGATTGATTGCTTAATTCTCATATTGATTGATTATCTGTCATCTGTAAATTAACTTGTTGTAAAAAAGACTCGTGATTAACTTTTGTTACTATCTCCGTTTTAGTTATATCGAAGGTTGAGAAACATAAAGTACACAAAAGTTTACCTTTTTGAGTGGCGTTCTATAAGAAAATGGATGATGTCGATTCGACCTCAATGTTTTCATTCCGCATTTGAACGAATATTGTGTGTTTTTCCATTCTTACGATTCTCGCGATACAAATACGAATTTGTCATGTTTACGTCAAAACAAAAACATTCGTGTCAGTCTACACGAATACAATGCTTTGCATTCCATTCAACAATCTTTTCATCGGGTCTATTGCCTTTGACCACGAATAAAGGTTATTTGATTCTAAATTGAAGAATATTTTCAACTATAGTAATCAGTTCTGTTTGATAATAGTGTTAAGCAATAATAGAATATAATTCTTATTAAAGCAAATAAATCTTTCTCGAAAATTAATGCTAGCTGCGCATTCATCTATATATTTGTGCATGTTAAATAATCGAATATATATCTTTTCACTAGATGAATCTGCACTTCTTGGTCGTGACACTCTTCGATTAGCAACTGAACAACATGCTCAAACAAATAAATCTAATGTTCTTTCAACATCAATTATAAATACAGCAAATAAAATACGTAATGCTACTCAAGTAAAAATTCTTGAACAACATGTTCAACATGCTTTTCAACATTGGAGTTTAAAATTCAAACAAAATAATAAATTTTTATCTTCATCTGATAGTCCAAATATAACAGTAACAAATCATTTAAATGATAGACAACAACCTGTTGTTTTACGTAAACCACGTCAACGTATACGTACTGAAAAAAATTGGCGTTTATTTTATCAAAAATTTGCTATGGATCATGCACGACCAACATTAATATGGAATAATAAAACACGTGATGAATTACGTGAAACAATTGAAAATGAAATAAGAAATTTTAATATTGATAAAGATCTTGGTCATGGACATTTAATATCATGGAATCACAATGAATTTGAAGTTTTATATCAATGTTTAAATGATGAAATTAAAATTGGAAGTGTTTATTTACGTTTATTACTTGAGCAAGGAGAATTAACAGCTAATAATGATGCAGCAGCAGGTAATTGATTTCTTTTGTGAAACACAATTTGAAATGAATGTTGAAGTATACAGGTAAATTTCTACTGTCGCAGTATCTACGACAGCATCGTCATGAGCATCTATGTTAACAGATTTTGACAGGCTAATAGTCAGAGACTATGCCAGATGTTTCAGATATACGATCAAAAACTGTAATATCAATAATGTCTCATTCTAAAAATATGAACTATTTTCTTGTTGCATTTTTGAAGGATTAACTAAAAGAATGATGAAGAAATGTATGCCAAAATAGATAGAATAAAGTTATCTTCCTATGATTAGCAACAACAGCTATATTGTGTTTTACATTTTAATTCGATAGAGCTTCTACTAGTAGTTTTCTGTTTAGATGCTTATAATCCATATGAATTTTTTAATGATCTCTATCATCGTTTTCTATTATCTCAACCGGTTAATATAAAACAAGCATCAATGAAATCAATGTGTTTACAAGCAATGACAATTGTTTATGCTCGTCATTATGAAACTATTGGTCCATTTAATGATACAAGACATCTTGTTCTTATGCTTGATCGTTCAACAGATAAATGTGAACGTGATCGTTTACTTATGTTTATAAGTAAACTTATATTAAATCATCGAAATGTTCGAGATATAATTGATTGTGGTGGAGTTAAAATTTTAATACAACTTATGTGTTTAGCACATTTACATATAAATCGTGCACAAGTACCATTAGCTTCAAATGTACTTGAATCATCAACAACGATGACAAGAGAAAATGAAAAAGAATGGTATTATGGAAAACAAGATAAAGAAAAAGTTGGACCATATAGTTTTAGTGAAATTAAAGATTTACATAAAGAAGGAGTTTTTGATGCTAAAACTCGATTTTGGGCACAAGGTAAAGTTTATTTAGAAGATCTATTGAAATGAACGATAGATGTAACAAATTAGTTTCTATCTGAGTTAAAAGAAAAATAAGAACTTAAATTAAAAAACAAATCAAAAACAAAAAACGAATACTTTATAGATAAAATTCTGTTAGAAATCAAATTCTTTAGATAAATCATTATTTGAATTCTTATTAGAATTTTTATGAACATTGGAAAAAAAATATTGAAAACAAACCTGATTGAATAAGTTAGAGAACTATCATATACAATTTCATGTCACAATAAAGAAATTCTTTATTGATTATTGTTAAAATTATTTTTTGTTTCTATATAACTTTAAGGTCTTGATGGTTGGAAAACCATGGATCGTATTCCTCAATTAAAATGGACATTACTTGCTGGTGGTCAATCTCTTTTTAATGATAGTGAATTAGCAGCAATTATTCTTGATATATTAATATCAATGAGTGAACTTTATCCTTCACGTGATCAAGTAAATGGAGCAATAATTCGCCCATTTCCAAAAATTAAACGTTTATTAAATGATCCAACATGTTTACCACATGTTGTACAATTATTATTAACATTTGATCCAAATTTAGTTGAAAAAATTGTTATATTACTTAATAAACTTACACAAGATAATCCATTATTAGCACAATTTTATATGACTGGTGTATTTTATTTTATTTTAATGTATACGGGTTCAAATATTTTACCTCTAGGACATTTTTTAAAATATACACATTTAGCACAAGCATTTCGTTCTGATGAACAACAACAAAAATCGGGTGAAAAAAAAGATATTTATTTTCGTTCTATACTTGGTCATNAATTATGATAGTGGTACGGATGAGGAACAAGAAGGTAATACTGGTAGGGGATGACATCTGAGTCTCCTCATCCGTACCACTATCATAATTAGAAAAGAAAGAGAACAAAAACAAAAGAAAAATATACAATTGCCAAAATCATATGTTTTATAATAACATCAAGTTCTGATGAAGGACAATTCTGATCCGAAACATCAACAAATTAATTTACGTAACTATAATTGAACTCTAATTAATTTCAAGTTACTCTTATTCAACTTAATATCAAATTGTTATCATCAAACAATTAAAATTTATATTTTATTGTTATTTTTATTATAAATATATATTTTTATCATTTCATTCTATCTCAATTTGATTTATTTCTAATCTTATCTTTTTAAACTATAATCTATTTTATTATACACATATTTAATAAATTAAACTATTTTTTAAAATAAAATAAGAGAAAAACTAATTTGTAATTAATTCATATTTATCAAATAACAGGAAAAAAATTTACTTTAAACTTAATTAATGTTCTATACCGCCAAGAGTGCTTGAATTTTCTTACTGGAAAATTAAGGAACACCGAGACTTATATTTCTCTTTAGATGTATTCTTATAACGAGAATATTGAAGCTTCAAGTATCATATTATAGCCGATGAACATTTCTATATGTGAGTAAACTACATTGAAGAAGCTGTTTAGGACGTAAAGAAATTTGAATTTTTTTTTAAATATTTTTAAAAAGTTAGAAAATTGTAGAACAAAGTCTGCAGTATTTAAATCTTCTTTCGAAAGTTTATATTGTTTTATGTATGATAATACGGTAATATGCGCTTTATTCAAATAGATGACATAAAATAGATTCTATAGATATGATTTACAGAATCCAAAAATGATAATGACAATATCAGAAATACAAATCTAACTAGGTATTTGTATCGAAAAATAATTCGCTATTTCCTAATGTTAATGTAATGTCTAGTGAGGCTATACTCAACTGTCAAGAAAATTTCAAAATAAGATAGCTAAAAGAAATATGACACTTGAAGGTCTGCAAACTGCTATGATATGATCAAAACACATACGAACTCTTCGATATACTTCGACTCACTATGCAGATGTGTTCATATTCAGCATACGGAATTAGTTGAGAATTTATCCAGAAGTAGCTGATCTCTGTTTTCTTCAGTGTCTTCGGGCATCAATTATTTTTCAGAGTGAGTTCGAAATATTTGAATAAAGTTATTCTTTATCGCAATATTTTCAAAATTAAAATTATTTTAATGCTATGTTGATGATAATTATCTTTATTCTGAATCTAATATTTATAAATGTCTTTTCAGAACCTTTCTTTTGATATTTCTATCTCACCGGCTGATACTCTAGCAAACAAACATTTTCAAAAACGGTTTTTTGTCCTTTTTTGCGCGTTTAAACGCATTTTCAGCGAGGGTACAATTGTAGAAACATAAAAACGAATAAAAAAAACACAAAACGCAGTTGTCTTCACAATCGTAAACTGTTATCCCAATCATGATGGTAATTTACGATTGGGAAGAAGATATCCTTGTTTCATGTTCTTTTTATGCGTTTATACGCTTTACAATCGTGTTCTCGTTGAAAATACGTGTAAACGCGCAAAAAAGGGAAAAACCGTCTACTTTTTATATTTTTATGGCACTTTTTCATACATATAAACGCGTTTTTGAAAATATCTGTCTGCTTGGATATCCTTTCGTTTTGCTTCTCAGATTTTTACAAAATGGTTGAAAATAGTGCTGGATCAGCCGAAGCTTAACGCTAGAAGCTCAAGGGATTCGATGTGTATATTTGTTTCTCAACATGGAAGATGTATCTGGTATTCTTTCAATTTCACGCTCAACCTTAAACGATATCAAGAGACTTGTTTTCGCTTTGAAGCCGATGATTATACTTATACAATGAAAACAGGTTGTCGTGGTAGTATTCGATACCCCTATCAACTTCTCTATCAAAAACACGAAGAACATATTAAGATTCCTCCCCCCATCCTAAATCGATCTCAACTCAGGAACATCCAAATGATATGAAATTTTCAGAATATGTTCAGGATGTTGTGGAATATCTATGGTAAAATTTTCAGCTCGATATCATGATGTTCACTGAAAATACCAGTCAAATAAGGCTGAAAAATAGAGAATTAGGTTTTCCGAAATTCTAACTCCAGGTACATATCATGAATTAAATTTTTTTTGTTTGAAAGAGTATGTCGGAGTACAGAGGATGACAGAGCTCTTGTTTTTTTGAACGCTTTTTTAAGGAGAAAAAGGGATTGAAAGTTCAATGACTTCAAAAATTCTGAAAAATGAGTGCCGAGTAATATAAATGTCTGTGTATATAATTAAAAAAAGCTGAATTCAAAAAAAGGGCACTGTAAATCTCTGTGCTTTGACACGTTCTTTCAAACAAAAAATATATAAATACATTGAATGAGTATTGACGAAGAAATTTGGAAACGAGTTCGAGACACTATGAACAGACAAAAAAAACGAAAGATTTTTTGTTTTTTTGAAAACAGCTGATTTTTTTCGAATAGGTGCGACCGAGTCTTCAATTTTTTTTGGAAAAAAAGAGGTATTAAGGAAAAACTTTTATCGTTTACGAGAAATCTAAAGACGGACTATCTTCTTCTGCACTTATCTCAATTTTGATCATTCTGACGAAAATTCACTTTATTTGGGTGAGAAGGAGGGGGAGAAAACCTTAAAGAGCATACAATAAAATCTAAACGATTAAAACTGTCATCACCCGCGAACAACAATTATGTTCTTCCAGAAATTTTTCAAGATTTTTCTGAAACTGACTTACTATCAACTGTTCCTCAAGGAAAGGACAGAAGGTGAATTATTGGAATCGCCAATTCATAAAGAACTCCAAAAAGATTCAGAAAATCTCGAAATCCACAAGCAATTTTCTCTTATAAATGAAAGAATTTCGAGCTAAAATTTTCATCATATGTAGAGCTTTTGATTCTCAAAATGTCCTGAAAGTTTCAATGCAAACGGATGTTTCCTTCTCAAGATAATCAACGTCCAAAAAAAGTGGATTTTCTGACCAAGATCTGAAATACGAGTATTTCTTGCGATCACATTTTCTTCAGAAGATAAGATCCTGTGGCGCTGAAACTTCTAGAATATTTTAAGAGCCATGAAGCTTAAATATGGAAAAAATTTCAGATCGAAATTTCTCTATTTGTAACAGGATATTGGTGTTGGATTTTGGGATTATCAAAATCCGAAAAAATCCAAAAAAAATCCGAAAAAATCCCATAAATCCAAAATCCGCCGTTTCTCCTTGGAAGTACTTTGAATATTGGTATATATGTGACTAACAATGGAGGTACTTGTATTGTAACCGAGCTAGACTTGATATTTTAGCATCAAATGAAAGCTCTCACTGCCAAACTAACAAGGTTTAACATATTAGCGGCCCTTGGCTTGCCTAGAGGGAGATATTTAACTTTTAAGTGTAGGCATAAAAATGAATCAGGAAAGGTTTTCTCCACTATTAGAAGGGCAAAACATAGTGTTGTTCGAGCCGATTATGGGATTTGTAGGGATCCTCTTTCATATGGCCCGAACAACACCATGTATTGTTCTTGTAATAGTGGAGTGAATTTTCCTAGTGGTTGATAGAAGAAAGCTGTTTCCATGAGCTACGAGAAAAATTCACTCTACTATTATAAGGACAGAACATAGTGTTGTTCGGGCCATATGAAAGAGGATCCCTACAAACCCCATAATCGGTCCGAACAACACTATGTTTTGACCTTCTAATAGTGGAGAAAACCTTTTCTGATTCATTTTTATACCTATACTTAAAAGTTAAATATCTCCCTCTAGGCAAGCCAAGGGCCGCTAATATTTTAACCTTGTTAGTTTGGCAGTGAGAGCTTTCATTTGATGCTAAAATATCAAGTCTAGCTCGGTTACAATACAAGTACCTCCATTGTAAGAAAAAGTTCTGTGAATCCCACTGCTATCCCAACAATCTTGTGGGAATCTGAAAAGTTCGAGGAATCCAAACATAATCCGAAAAACCTCATAATAATCCCAATAATCCCATGATAATCCCAATAATCCCATGATAATCCGAATAATCCCATAATAATCTCAATAATTCCATAATAATCCCAATAATCCCAATAATCCCATAATAATCCCAATAATCCCATAATAATCCCAATAATCCCATAATAATCCCAATAATCCCATAATAATCCCAATAATCCCAATAATCCCATAATAATCCGAAAAATCCAAAGAATCCGAATCCGCCGTTTCCCCCTTGCTGCCTATTCAATATTAAATGCAAAGAAATTGGAAGAAAATAGTTTTTTTTTCCAGTTTGATTTTAATGTTTAATCAATGATTCAGATGAGATAAGGCAACATATTAATATACATCGTCAATTATGCGAAATACATACATTGGTAGAACTCTAAGAGTACATTCTCTTTTTCGATATAGAAATACGTAATTCAGTTCAATCAAAACCTCCAACAATTAATCCATGGACAAAAAGACAATATGCACCTGTAGAAACCTGGAACAGCAATGATATGAATATAAAAATTAAATCATTAGCTAATGAATTGTCCGAAATTAAAAAAAATTTTGAAATAGAACGAGAAAAAATAAAAACATGTTATGAGAAGCAAATTAGAACAATTCAGCAGCAAGGATGGGTAATGTTACAACAACAGATTCAAGCACAAAATCAATATCTTTCATTAATGTCAACTATGATGAAAGACAATTTATCAGCTATAGGTGAATTTGCAACAACAATAACATCATTAAGTGAAATAATCAAATCAAAATATACAGATGAATCTGATCGAAATAAGATCGAAATGATGAAAACAATGATTAATTCATCTTTACAACATATCAAGAATTTAAATGATTCGTTTATAAAACAAGAAACAAATTTAAATTCTATTATGAATAAACAATCACAGATATTTGAAACGACATTAGATTGTTTTTTACCAACAAATAATGGATAAACAACATCATATTAGTATACCGAACACAGTTTGTTTTTCCCTAGTAGATCAATTTGTAGGATCAAAAGATGAGAAAAAATTAGTGTTTGATATTTTAAATGAGTGGAACAATAGAACTTCTATTTCCGATTTATGTCTTTCATGGGAAAAAACTAGACCTAAAAATGAATCTGAAAATCTTCTTATACTTTTATATAACTGTGAATGTCTTAGCACCCATCTAAACGATCTTGATATTTTATTGTCTTTCTATTTACCTCATGTTGTTATCTTGACAGGTGTTGGTTCTCACATTCGTAATATGCCCTCTATTCCGAACTTTTATTGGCATAAACAAAAAGGTTCGAATTCGTTTGGTGGTGTAGCAATATTAGTACATAGTTCTATTAAATCAAGAGTTATACACGCAGTCGAAAATTTTCTTGTAGTTGACTTTAATGTTGCGATGTCTTCTATCTTGATCGGAGCAGTATATGTACCCCCTAAAAGTAGGCCTCCGATTGATGAGTTTGAGAAATTTCTTGATAAGAAACTTTATATTTTTGGTGATCTAAATGCTAAACATTCTCAATGGGGATGTACCAATAATAACAGTAGTGGAATTTTATTAAATGAATGGATGGAAAAAAATGGTTGTGTGAGCATTTTTCCTGCTGCACCAACTTCCAGAAGGTCAGATGCTATTATTGATTTTGCAATTTCACAAGATAAAATAGGTTGGACATGTGAAGTTATTGACGAAGGAACATCAGATCATTTTCCTGTAATATTTTCTGCACCATTTATTTTATCTGAAAAAGGTTTTTTCCGAAAGACAAACTGGAAAATTTTTTCTTTTATTCTTTCAAGTTTATTTACTTATTGGAATGCGTCGGTATATAATTTAAATGAACAAACTTTTTTTTCTCTTTTCTCTATGTTTCTAGCCTCACTGTGGGATAGAACGAGTGAATATTTACCGGTCACAGAGTATAAACCGCCCTGGCCACACTTTCTTGTCTCTTTAGCCAAGGATGTTAATAGGACGAGAAAAAAATATAGAAGAACACGTTTTCTTTGTCATCTAGAAGATTATACTATAGCGAAGAATGTATATAAAACAGAGAGAGCGAAACATGAGCAACAAAGGAGAGAAAAACAATTACAAAATATATCTAGGGGTTTAAATGTTTGGCAATTTGCCCGTCCATTTTTTCACTCTTATACACCTCCATTTAGAGGATTAACAATCGATAATAAGATTGAAAGAGATACACAGAAAATAAGTGATCAATTAGGTAATTATTTTGAACGGCATTTTTCTCAACCAATACCAGATTATGCAAACAAAACACATGAACATTCCCTTATCGTATATGAAAATATTGCTTATTTACCAAATATGCCACTTGATATGATATCTTATGAACAAGTTTATAGAAATTGGAAAAAATTTTCTCCAAAAAAATCATTAGATAGTTTGAAAACATCTGCATATCTACTAAAGAAGCTTCCAGTCGAATATATGAATGTTTTCACGGTTCTTTTCAATACATGTGCATTGAAAGGAAATGTTTTTGAGGAGAGTAAGCATGCGAAGGTTATTTGCCTTTCTAAGGAAGGGATTTATCCAGAAGAAAATAAACTTCGCCCCATTTCTTTATTACCTAATATTGGAAAGTGGTTCGAACGTTGTATACATGAGCAAATCATAAACTGGTGTATTGCACAAAACATATTTGTAGATGAACAATCTGGATTCACTCAGCATCGTAGGTTGCAAACTAGAATATTGACCCTCTGTGAGGATTTACGTCTTACAATAGCAGCATGTAATCGCCCCGCATTAGTAATATTCATTGATTTTCTATCCGCATTCGATAAGTTATGGTATCCTGCTCTTATTTCAAATCTTCTCGAGTTAGATATGCCATTGCCTCTTGTCCGCTGGATATACCAGTGGTTACAAGGAAGAACAATGGCAATTCATCATGGAGAATCAAGATCTAAAACGATTCAGATGTTTTCAGGTGCTCCACAAGGTTCTGTTTTATCAGCAACACTCTTTCGTTTACACATCCATTTTTTACCAAAAACACTTGCACGTTTTTGCTCTCACTTATTTGCTGATGATCTTGCATTAATAATTAAAGGATCAATAGAAACAACATTTACACAAAATATTGAAGATCTCGAACAACAAGCTGATATAGCTATGAAATTATTAGAGAATTTTTCGAAGAATTTAATACTTCCAGTAAATATAAAGAAAACAAAAATGATGCTTATTCATAGTATTGTATCACCAAGCTATCCAAAAGTTCTTTTTAAAAATGAAACAATTGAAACAGTTTCTTCATTTAAATATTTAGGTGTAGAAATACGTACAAAAATGGGATGGGGCTCTTTTATTAAAACAAGATTAGATAAAATTAGAAATATATACAGTGCTTTAAGGAAAATGTTCAGAGTAATTCCTTTAGATCAATATAATATTAGAAGAAAACTTTTTTGTGCATTCGCCTTACCCCACTTTTTATGGCTATTTGTTACATGGTTCTATTTTACAGAAAATCAACGTCAAGATATTGAACATGTATATTGTACAGGTCTTCGTTTAATACATAATCTGTGGGGGTGGAACGACTACACTACATTAGTTCTAGCAAAAGATAGGTCTCTTCTCGACTACGTGTATGATTATTGGGAGAAATTTATGAAACATCTTAGTATATCTCCGGAAGCAAGGGAGTATAGAGAAACATGGGAGGCATACCTTATATCCACATCACCCGATCGAAGCGTCTATAAATCCATGGGTTTAAGAAAAAATAATTTTTTTATAAATCGTTATATACAAAGGGTACATCATACAAATATGAATGTTTTTTCATTTTTCTGTGTACATCAGAGACAAAGAAGCTTTTTTAAAAGCTCATCTACTAATGTTGAAAGATTTATTCATAAATATATATATCCACCTTAAGACTCTATTTCCTTTCTGAAAATTTGGGAAATATGAAGTTCGTTGCTCCAAAAACACAATCCACTATATTCTATTGGTGAATGCTTTCTTTTTCTCTTCTTTTTTTTTTTTTTTTTCTCTTTTCTTTCATCTATCATCTTATGTAATCAAATGTCTTTTTCTTTTTTGTACTATATCGCTACGTCCTAGGAGGAGAGACACATCACATAAAAACGAATCAAAAAATATTTCCTATATTTAATGTGATGATTTTTACTTTCTTTTTTTCTTTTTTTTTGTTGTATTTGATAATTGGTAACCCTAATGGGATCAATAAAATTATTATGTTAAAAAAAAAAAACTTGCTGCACATTATTATTCAATGTTTATAATAACTTTTCATATGAATATGAAAATATGGTGAAATAATAGTCATGAAATAATGATGATTGGTATAGATAAACGAATTAGACAAATTGGTGAACAAAAAATACAAAGAATTTAAAGTGGTATTAAAAATCGTGAAGTTTCATCAATAATGGTAAATAGTTTCTGACTAATTCAAGCTTCAGACGAAGAGAAAACAGTAGAACTTTCAGTCTTAAAACCTGTTTGTTTTCTTCTCAAGTTTCACATAGACTTGAAAGATATCGGTATTAGCTTGACTAAATTAATGAATGTCTATTATTAGAATGACATTAAATCATATAATTCCATTAATAAATATTACATTTTCATCTTTGACATCGTGTGTGTTTTTTGGGTTATGAATGTGTATGTCTGTATAGATATGGTCATTTTATCTATTTGAACGAAATGTTCAATGAGAACTGTAATATTTTTTGTTCGATAATAAAAATAAACCTGAATTTTTCAAAATTTATTCCATTATTTTTCTTGAATCGAAACTCTATGATCATCTATTAATTATACAGATTTATTATTTAAGATGAATACAGTTTTCGAATTTTACCGATTCATTCGATGGAGTGTAAATCTTCTTTTCAATAATGCTAATACCCATGTCGTTGTCAACATTTCGTATGCACTCTGAAATTAGAAAAGAATAAAATAGTGGTAAATTGTGTTTTTTAAAACAACAACAACAATGATAGAAAAAGTGCTTTTACATCAGTCTTTGGCAACACTAATAAAAGAAATAGGGAAAAATAATTGGAGTTCATCAATAGTCTAGTCTATGTTAAGTGAGGCACTGATCTGAACTAATGCTGCACCTGGTACTCTATTTCTTCGTCCGGTCGCAAAGTTAATTCGTTTACATGTGTTAATTTGTTCTGCTGCCGTTTTGTTGAATTTATTGACCATCTTTCTCCTGAATCTTATCGGTATACCAGTGTAGATATTGATGTTGACGTACTGCAACGTCTTCAAATGTTGCAACATTAGATCTCAAATGTCAATAAATAGCCAGCCATAAAGATATGCAACATCTGTAATTTTGAGTGAAACCAACAAAGGTAGAGCAGATAAGAGATTGGCAAGATAGTTCAGGCGCCAACAATTGATATTAAGATAAAGATAACGAACATGATATTGCGGTTTAATAGATAAAGGCGCTTTACTGTCTACTTCATACCAAAGTTGATCAATTTTTTCGCCATGAAAATCACTAGACACATACACAAGTTTGGCCGAAGGAATGATTAATTTGACGGGTAGTACTCGGTCAAATGGATACAAACGTGACTTGACGTGCTTCAACAGAATGATTCGCCGAAGAGAAAGATGACAAAAAGAAGTTCCGATCGAGGTCAGTTCTGAATCAACCAATGACAATGTGAAGCTGATCAATTGAGATAGTTCACACATCTAAACAAATGCTGCAATGAAAAAAAACAAACTGCTTTATCTCAGAGTTGTGACCGGTCAAGAAATACTAGACCAGTCGAATTGGGCCGTTCAAAAAATATTTTGAAATTGGTCAAAATCGGCGAGTTCACAAAGTTTTTTTTTTCAGGCGAGAAAATTTCGTTCTAAATATCCACAGGTTTTTGCATTGGTGATTTCTGGAATTCTTATATTACAAAAAAGGATTATTTCTCATTCTTCTATGCAGCTCCCAGTAATAAAAATAGTGGTCAATTCAAAGTTGTAAACAGTCGAGAATTTTCCAACTAGTTTGATCTGTCCAATTCAATCCGACAAGTTCCAAAAACCTTTGAGATCGGTGAAAATCGGCAAAAACTGACCAGTCTGTTGAGTAATTGTTGATTGGTTAATAACAATAGCTTTAAAAAACATTCATTGTCCTGTTTTCTCGCAGGTTTTTTACAAATCTTCAGAAAGAAATATAATGCTCTAGTAGTATATTTTCTTTTAGTTTTTCAAATATAGAGCGATAAAACGAGTTCTTTACTCATTGATTGTTCATTAAACTCCAAATCTTGAATCTTCTCATTTAATCTTTACAGAAAAATCTAACTTTTCTTTTCGAAAGACAATCCAAACCTAAATTTGATATTTAACAAAACATGTATGAAATATTGAGTTCAAATTTTTTAATTTGATTCTTATAATTTCATCACTACTTACTGATATTTTGTCTAATCTATTTGACTATACTGAGGTATTATTCTTTCCATTTATTGCCATGAACGTTCCAAAGTGATTTTAGATTGAAGAACATGGCAATTGGAATAGTGATATGTTCAATACGGAGTGAGATGATTTGGTTGGGAAAGTAGTGTGCCGGAAGAAAAGACATTTGACGATCAAGATGCAAATGAAGTTGCTGACGTTGATCAAAGATACACGATGTAATGAGTTGAGTGAGATTGGAGAACAATTGGAAAATTTCTTTTGTATTGAAATATTCGAAAAGATCAAGGATCAGTTCACCTGATAGACTTCCAAATGTGGAACAACGATCTTTATTGCAGAAATTGAAATGCAAAAGTTCTTTTCAGTTGTTTTGAGATAGATATTGATCGATGATTTCTTACATATTTTCAAAATCAAAGATGTAATCAACCACTATTATGCTACGAGAAGATTCGTACCTACTGAAAGGAGTGAAATACCGAAACAACAGACCGATGGTAGCGAATGCAGCGCATATTTTCTCTTGTTGTTACTGTTTCCTATTGAATCATGAACTTTCAGATTCATTGGCAGCAAAAGAAGAAACAAGGTCAGGAGAGAAAGAAGGCAGAATGTCATATCTGTTTTTTTTTGTACAAACATAATTCGACGCATATAAAAGAAAAGTTAAGATTATCATGAATAGATCATTTCGTCCATCACGATATTTCTTTTGCTATGTTTATAATGCAGATTTTGATTAAAATTAACAGCTTTTAGCAGGAAGAAGTCAGAGAAAATTTAATTATACGCACATCAATCACTTTTTTTTGGAGACCGACAAGTTTCAAGGGGAAAAATTCATTCAAATAACGGCAAATGTCTAAATAGCTTTTTTTCCAACTCACATTTATGATTCAAGATATCAAAAAAGTAAAGAAGGTAAAAACCAAAACAATTTTTTTAAATCTGTCGGTTTCAAGCAAGATCTACGAATAAATTTGTTGTGACTTTTAAAAATACCCTCCAATCGATTATGTACTTGCATATTCTTTCAAATATAAGCACGTGTATATTGTGTCATGATTTTTCTGTATTCATGGTATTCTTTTGATAGATTGTTCTTGCCATCGAATAAAAGTAGACTTCGAAAATGGAAAAGAAATATGAGACAATCTGATTCCTTTAATAATCAATTATTAGGATTATTTTTCTTTGAACGATGTTTATAAGGGTGATTAAGTGAAAGTTTATTTCTTGAACATGATTCAAAATATAACAGAGTAAAAATTGAAATCATTCACTTCTAGGTCGACAAACAAGGAATTCGTATACGTTTCGTCTTTCTCCGTTTACGATCGTATTTTGACAGTTTACATGACTGAACATTACGGTTGTATATCGCTGTTTTTCTTCGTATACAACGCGAGAATGTACGATAGTAATACTGAGCCATGTAATACACCAATGTACGACAACTTACGGCCGTTTACGACAGTGTTTATTTGACATGGGTTGTGAACGTTCCTTTGTCTAAACAGAATGTAAGGTGTGGATATAAGTCTGAGCAAACAAAATGCCCATATCCACAGTCTCAATGCTTTTTCTGTTCTAATATTTGGAAGACATGGCGATTGTCAATAGGAGTTTCCAAATAAGCTCATGAAGTCGATCTGAACAATCCACTTCTGTTTTTTCGTTCGTATCAAATAAACACAAATTGAATTTCGAACAGCATTAATATGAGTTGAGAAACAAATGAATTTGTCTTTATTTTTCTATAACTGACATTAGGATATTTTATTGAAATTTGATGCTCGTAGTTGAGAGAAAATCATACAAACGATGAACTAATATAGAGAAATCTAGCTTTGAATAGAACAATTCATATGATCGCTGCAGTATGTGTCAATGTCAGTCCAATTACGGATTATTATACGGTAATAATGATTGCAATTTGAACAGATATCGAAGAAAAACTAATCATATTGCTTTCAGCATCGAAAAAAGACTAATTTTTGTATTCTAGCCACAAGTGCGACATTTTCTAAATTGTTGTTCAACTAAGGCTTTAAGAATAAAAACTTACTAGGCTCTTCTTTCAAATAAAAAGAAAGGTTTTGATTAATCTTGCTCAGTAGTGGAGTTATATGCATTTATTAAGTGATCATGATTCTGGGACACCCGGTAATTGTTCGTCATTCTTTTCAATACTATAAATATATTGTAGAGTAGTAAGATATTTTGGTACATCATCATCAGAGACTTTTTCACATAGAATTAAACCCGTTAAAAGACTCATTGGCTAAAATCGAATTTAAATCACTACTAAACTAAAGAATAAATACTAAAATTTATTATTACACTGGGGACACACTGAGTAAAGTCGTTTCGTTTGTTAATAATGGACATCAACATGTGTGACGTTCAAGAACTCGAAGAGCTAAAAACAGAAGAAATTTTCCACTTGTGATTGGTTTTAATGACTAAAGTGTCGTTATATCTATTATATCAATAAATTTTTTCGCAAATTATAAAAGATAAACAAATAAATATGCGAAAATTAGAAAAAAATCGAAATTACCTAAACATGTAAATCCTTCTATAAAGTATCATTATCAATTTCATCGATTAATGCTTCTCAATTGTTCATTGATAAATTATCTTTTTCATCGGTACAACATATAAGACGAACCCATTCTACTCGTTACATTATTTGAACTAAATGTAATAGCGCGTATCATTAATTCTCGATTATGTGATATGATTAAATGTGAAAAAAGTCGAATTTGTTATTGATGATGATAAATCGTTTTCAGATATATTACAACTTTTTTCATCCTCATATTCATTTATATTTACTATACCATCATTTGGAAAATTATCAAAGTCCAGTAAATCACATTTACCACTAACGAGGAAGGGTCGCCAAATGATCTATTGCTTTTAAGTTGCGGCTATGCGCATTATATAGACCATAGTGAGTTATAAATACCCTGAAAAGAGTTCGGGGCATAGCTTATTACTGCCGTGAGACAGTAGTTTTACGATACGTCTAAGTAAAGTGTCATGGTCCTCCTCTCAGGAACGTCAGAAAAAATGAGTTTGGAATTTCAACTTATTTCAGAATAGGAGCAATCAGAAAGTCTTAAACTTTCAGCATAAATTATTCTCTATGAGAACGGCCTCTATAAAAAGTTTCAAGTTGAGATTACAAACTCAATTTTTCTGATGTTCTCGAGAGGAGGACCATGACACTATGCTTAAACGTATCGTAAAAGTGTTGTATCACAGCAGCAATAAGCTATGAGCCTAAACTATTTGCAGGGTGTTCATAACTTACTATGGCGTACATAATGCATATAGTCTTGACTTAAAAGCGATGGATCACTTGAGGACCTTTCCTCGTAAGCAAACAATTAGATAAACATGCTGATTCAGGAAGTTTTACATCTAATAGTGAAAAATAATATGCTGAATAAGCATCGTAATAATCTAAAAATAAAACAATAGTTTTCATAAAATTAAATTAAAGTACAAAACTTCTGTGTTCGTTTTTCGACTTTTCTATTTGATGATAATTATTCGACAAGAAAATAGCAGAGACTTTAGTTTTTAAATGAGATCAACAATGCTGACACTACCAATAATCAGTAAATCAACTTAAAACCATTGAGCTTTGGCTATTTAGACTACTCAGTTACAATTATTTGCATTTACAGAGTGTGCGAGTGCAGTGTGATGTGGGTATCGCTCTAAATGAAATGAGTATCCACACTCACATCTCAGCCCCAACTCGACTTCCTTTGAAAAATTAGTACAATGGAAAAAACAAGTGTTTCGGCGGTGCTTTCAGTGTTCGGCTTCGTTTGAGCGTCACGGATGACATTTTTGAAAGAAAAAAAAAACGCACACTCCGATTTGATCATAGTTGTTATAAAAAGTGCAGCTAAAAAAAACGAAGTATAGAGCTTCGACGAGGAGGGAAGATTAAGTTCTGGTCATTTTTTGGCCATTGCAACCCTTATATCTTCTTGAAAGAAGCATCTAGAAATTTCGAGTCTATGACAACATTTACTGTACTTCTCAAGATCTATCTGCTTTAAAAATTTCATACCTTTTCGTCGAGCCGTTCCCCGGAAATCTCGTAAGCGAAAGGGTTTTCTTAAGTATCAAACTACTGCCAGTTGAGTGCCGATATATTCACGGTTTTTGCCAGGTTTGAATCATACGAGAATAATCAGAATAATTTGAGTTGAGAGATAAAATCAATATTGATGTTTCAATTTTATGCATCAGTAGACGATATTTTTCGTATACTGAATCGATGCATATAATCAAGTCCTACGTTATTTATTGTAACTTCCTCTGCGAAAAACAGAAGTATGACCAGTGTGTACATTAATCTAATCGTACTCAATTGCAGCATCATTAATAAACACCAATCGTCCTAAATTTATGTATAAGAATCATAATTATTCCTTGAAAAAAATGAATAATTATTTTCTTCAATGAACCATAGAAATGAATGTATAATCGAATTATTGACTGATAATCATGGTAGAAGCAAATAAGTGAAAGAGAAAGCATAAATAGAAGGAAAAATGCATTTCTACGTCAAATAAACCAATTTCTAATATGTTGAAGCTTACTGGTTTCGTTGCTATCGTAAGTAACTTTTTTATGCATACGCATAGTGGTAGCATTCTTAGTTGTTCTTTTTTAGTTGTGTCTGAGTCTCGTTAACGCTCATCGTCCTCTATTGAGGCAACCTGGCAATGGTGCTTCTCCATTTAAGCAAACTGTCGGTAGTGGTTTTCCAGTACAGAAACCTGATCGTAGTAACTCACAATTAGGACAATCTCACGGCAGTGGTCCTCATCTTTTTCCAGGTGTTGGCCACCGCCTATGGCTCACAGAATTGTGCTCTAATGGCAGTTTGACTGAAGCATTTCTAACTCAAACTCGAGAATTGATTACAGAACTAAGAGAAAATGGTTCATTTGCTGATGCTTTGGCAAAGCGAACACAGTCAATAGATTACATACAAAGTGACGAAAATGCTGAACTTTTATCATCAAACTGTACTCAATATTTTGCTGGCCTCTTTGCTGCAGTCAAGAGTGACATACAATCACAAGATCAACCGGCACCAAATCAGTTTATTGTAAGCCAACGCTTTCGGGAAATTTTCTGCGATCTTACAAATATATGCCCACGAAGAAAACCGAATTCGAATAAATGAATTATTCTGCTCGAATATTCATTAAATCATGGACAATATGCAAAAGAATGAACTCCTATTAAAAGTATTTTGAAATAAATCTATTGCTGCAACACTTCGATTATTTGAATAGTTGAAATATCTTTTCTGCTACAGTTTGCTTTTCGATATTCCTACATGGTTTTCAATTGATTGTTTTTCTTTGGATTCAGTGAAGGGTGTGGGTGTGGGTGTGGTCTCACACCCTATCCTAACTGACTTGCCAGAAACCATCTTCATTTAGATCCTTACCAACCTGTATTCAGTTTTCTTTTTCTACTAGCTATTAGTTAGTTACAGGCGCCAATTACGTACCCACTCCTTAGCATTCTAGATTCTTGTAGAAATAACGACTACACTTGCTCAAATTATGAAATGACGATATTTTAACTTTACTTTGGCAACGTAACTGAGAATATTCTAAACATTTTGATTTTTCCAAAAATGCGAACTGTTTATTCTTTCCATGTGAAGTTCGAATAAAACACTGAAGCTCGATTAATCACTCAACTTAAATGTTCATAGTCCTGCGAGCCATTTCTGTTTGTGGTAAACATGGTAGCCAAAAAAATTGTAATCGCATTTAGCAACGATCTATCTGATGTACACTGGGAAAGTGATGAAGTGAACAAATCGCAATGAAATTAATTATCTTTTGTCCTAATTCTGGTACCCATGATAAACTCATGAAAGTGTGGACGTAAGGAGAGAAAAGAATCATCGATGTCCATAACCTAATTAAGCATAATATAATAATTATGTATGAAATCAAATATACATCTTGATATTTCATGTAATATCATATAACAAGAAAAAAAAGCAGTGTAGAATATTTTGTATTTAGTTTTCACACAAAGAAGAAACAGAGGAAGCACAGTTTTGGTCTTCAAACAAGTATTTTCAACCTTAGACTGATGGTACAAAGAAACAAAAAACGAAAATCAATTATGAAATCACAAGAAAAACTTTCTTTCTCTTTTCTTTGTTATATATAAACTGAATAAAAGCAAACTTCTATATTTATTTTTTCTTGCTATATGAAATTAGATTAAATCTCAAGATAAATATATTTGATTTCCTAAATAATTGATATTCTTATATTAAGTTAAACATGGAAGTTGAATGACATTTATTTTCTTGGTAACTATGGTATTATAGATGAATTATTTGATTATTACTATGATTTAATTGAACCATAATGTTAGTATTTTCATTATGTTATTATTAAATGGTGATATTGATGCCTGATGTTACTTTCTAGTTTTTTTTCTTTATTATATTTAATATCTTTAAATTCGTATGACTAGTTTAGATGATGATGCTGTTTTATATAGTTTATGATATTATATTTTTATGATCTTTTTTTGTTTCATTATTAATTTTCGTTTTTTTGCTTGTTTACACCATAAGTCTAAGTTTGAAAATGATCTTTTGAAGTCCCAAGATTCCATTTTTCTTTTTTTCTTACATATATAAATTAAATAAAAAACGTCTGCGTTAATTTTTTTCTTGATATATGGCAAGCATGATATTTCACTCATATTACGCACTTCAAATCAAGCAGAAATAAATGTGAAGTTTATTAGTTAAAGTCATGTCTATGCAATTGCATTGACTCACTTCTTGCATTCATAATCAATCATAATTAGTAATACACAATTTTAGGGTCGTTAAATATCATACCTGATATCTGTCATTGAACAATAAAAAGTGTGAAATCGCGAGAATGCTCTTCAGTTCTATGCTTAGATCATGCTCTCACTGCATTGATTTTACTGAAGGATATTAATGGTGATATTCATTACAAACGAATAAGAAACAATCTTGCTAAGTTAGCTGATAATTTTCTAACATATTGAGTAGCCCATGATTGTATGGGTTACATTTGCCAATCGCTCAAATAGGAGAAAAATTTTATTTGTAGTAACAAATAAGCATCTTTCACAATCAGCGATTGCGGATCTCAAAGAGCTAAAGCAGCTCAAAAGTCTGTTCGTTGTCGAGGACAAAGCAGATTATCCTGAACATTTTGTTCGTCAATTTAAAGATGTCACTTCACTTACCGAACATATTGAAACCATCACTTCTGATAGGAAACATCAGATGGTCTTCTTCTCTTTTTCAATCAATATGAACGATCATAATTGAATTTATCAGAAGAAACAGCTACTTTCATATGAACACAACTGACTCTTCCTTCGCTTCTTCAGCTACCTCCGTTAAAAAGTTCCATCGATGAGATGTCGGCGTTTTGCATCGAGTTCTATGCGTCTGATCAGTGGCAATTGGCCATCATCGAAGAGTTCCGTAGAGCATACACATCTCAACAAGCCATACAGTGGTATTCACGTCCGTCATTTATTTTTCAATTAGTCAACCGAGTTTTGCGCACCGAGGACATTGCTGGACTTTTTGTGTTTCGCCAATTTTTTGTCGATTTACACGCATAAACAGCTAACTTACAAGTTTAACAGCATGGATTAGTGCCCATTTATCAAGTCTATCATGATCAGTTTTTGCCAATATCTGAACTCGAACACCTTCAGAACGGTATAGGTAATATTGTATCTGCAAATGGCTTTTTCTCTACGTCAAGAGAGCGAGATGTGGTACAAATCTTCGTTTCGCAAAGTCCACCTGAAAACCTAGCAAGCGTATTATTTATTATTGACATCGATATGACTCTTGAATCGACGTTGTGTGCGGATGAAACTCTGAAACAATATAAACCTTTGATGTTGCAGAATATCCCAGCAACCAATGCGTATATCCTGTTTGACCGAATTTTGTAAGAGAGAGGCCTATATGAAAAAGCCAATATCTATTGCAACTCTCTCAAGACGTTTATTGCCACATGATGAACTAGCAACTCGAGCATCGCTAAGCATTCTTCACGCTCGATCATTTTTCTTCAAGGCAAATATGATGAATCGCTGACTATTTTAGTAGAAACAGAAGCTATATTCAAAAACCTTGGTCAGGAACCCGAGTCTCTTCAGTATTTACAATGGCAATTCAATATTGCCAATGCTTACGCCGTTCAGAACAAATATGATTGTGCATTAGAAATCTATCAATAAACTTTGGATGATCAGCGTAAACTTCTAACTGGTGATCATAACGGCATTGCGTATAGTTTAAGTGGCATTAGCTGGACACTCGGATATTTAGGCCATACCGAAGAGGCCCTCGATTACTCAATGCAATCACTTGCTATGCGACAACGCTGTCTTCCTGTCTATCATCCAATCATTGCGCACACACTGAGAGCTATTGGTCAATATCACGAGAGTCAAGGTCGTTGGCCGGAAGCTGAAGATTATTTTTCACGTACTCATAAAGCAACTACAAAATATTTACCATCTACTCATGTGCATCACACACTTTCATTGTTGCATTTGGGTATGATGAATGAGAACCGAGGTGATTATAACAGTGCTTTTGATCATTACTTATGGGCGCTGAATATCTATCGGCACAATTTGAACGATGAGCATCCATCGGTAGCCAATGCTCTCGATTATGTTGAACATATTTATCGACAAAAGAATGTATTTCATCAAATTTGTGAATGTTTGCAAAAAGGGTTGGATATACGCGAAAGAGTACTCAATCCAAACCATTTAACGTTCAGTTCCATCTTTCATTGTTTAGCACATGTATATTTGGACATGAAAGATAGCACAAATGCCATCAATTATTTCCAAAAATCCTAAAAAAATAAAAAGAAAACATTTAATACCAACAAATCCTTACATGTTTCGAACATTGAGCTGTCTGCCGACTGCATTCAGTCATCATGGTGAACTTGAACTGGCTAAACAAAAATTTGAACAGGTTTTCAATAACCAACAGACAACTTCTCCGAACGGCCATCCGGATATTGAAATCACATTGAATCACATGCGTAGCAATTATCGTAGAATGAATAATTTTGACAGAGCACTTGACTGTTACCAGAAATCATCGGTGATAAGCGAAGAATTTTCCGACCTGATCATGTTGAAATAATATCTGCAGCAGAAAAAATTTATGAACTCGTTGCTATGAGAAGAAGTGACTGTGCAGCGTTTTTATCAGAAGTGTCAATTAGGGACTGTCGAATCTTTGATCAGACAAATGTATCTTCTTCATTTGTTTTTTGCTTTCAATTCTGTTCTTATTTCTTCTCGTTGTTTCTTATATTTTTCATTGTCCACCCTTACTTTCATACATGAGATTTTGTTTATAAATGTTTCAGTCTGTTGTAAAAAGGGAATTATATGCGTTCGACAGTCTACAACGATTAGCTGACATTTTTTCTTTTTTCGGTCGACTAGGAAAATACTGATTAAGCCATGCATCAATGTTGTTTTCCTTACGACAAAAATTGCATGAGTACACATCTCTTGCAGATCAGAAGCTCGACTCCGAGCTACCGATATAGGGTGATAGACTCTAGTGTTTTCTTCAACTATACACATCATTTGGTTCAAACTAACTCACTGTTTGAGAATCATCGAATTTCCAATAGTGGCATGTCCTCCACGGGGATATATAGGACAGTACATTTGATGTAAGATGGTTTCCCTTCTCTTCTAAAAGTTTTCGACGTATTGTGTTGTGGTGGTAGGAGTAGTGACCCCGTACGCTTCGTCTGAAAATAATTGTAAATTTTCTATTAAAACTCTGTGGCTGAGCTAATAGCTTCGAATTTCGTTTGTTCAGAAAGATTATGGTGAACAAACTTCTCTGCTCAGCGCCAAATATAAGGTTTCTAGACATCCAGCTACATTAAAATCCCCAATAATTTTGCATGATTTAGCTGAAAGGGCATCCCTGATTTTCAAAGAAGTCATTCTTAATCAATAAAACTCTGATTACTGATAAGTCTACATGAGTTATACTTGCAGTATAAGTTGCAGCCCTATTCAACGATACGTTGCTAAGTTATACGAATTAGATTACAATTGCTAAGAAAGGCTCCTTGGCCGAAAGATATATCTTGGCATAAACGATTACATCAAAAGTCAGAATGTTTCATGACATATGAATACAAAGAGAATTTCATTCTCTACAAAATGAATGTATTTAAGTTCCCTTGAGAAATGGAGATGAGCAATTAGTAGAGATAAAGTATCAATGTTCCTTTCATTCTGTCAAAAAATTTATTTTTGATGCGTCAACGAAACCTTCATTATTAAATATTGTTGCAAGGCATAAATTGCATAAAAATTGTGGCCTTCCATGAACTACAAATATTAAAAGTTTAGAGAAAACAATGCTCTTCGAAGCAAGATACGACCGAATGAGTGTCGAGCTTATTTCACTGATTTTACACTTCCCCAGTAAAAGAAAGCCTTTTTTTTCTCATATGAGAGCGCTGAAGTTCAGCGAACAAAAGAAGCTGACCGATGGTATACGAAACCAGATAACCGACTTTGTTTTTCAAGTGACAACATTTGTCTCGATCATACCTACTGTGATAATGTAAGCCAGACAATGTTGCATTGGTTCTATAAAAATTCAAGCCACTTGCGGAAAAAATCAGGTATTGATCTTCGTGTATTATTCTCGTAAAAAGGTGTGCCATAACTTGCTTCCTTTTTTTATTTTTGTAGGCCGTAGATGTGCATGTGCTGCTCAAATGAATATGGGCTGAGGAGATGGACACCCCACACTACATGAAGACATCTACACCCATCCACATCCACACCCACACTCTACGAGTCTGCTTTTCGCCCATATCGACACGATAAGGTTTTTGAAACATTGATCGCAGTGCTATCAAATCTGGAGAATTCCCTACAACGTTTTCGTTCACCCTCTCGATGCAATCATATAAATGACACTGGTATACGAGATTTATTAAAATAAGATACTCTACAAGAAACTACAGTAGACGGATAATACTAACTACAAGTGTTTTATTCGAGTCAATGGTCTATAGTGAAATTGAGCATTGGTTGGAAGGTCTTCAAGTGGTCTTGGCTTTGGTCAACTCCTTTTGTTTTTCATTGTCTTCGACACGTTTAATATATTTGTCATGTAATGATGTGAACAGAATCAAGGAAATGATGGAGCCAATCAAACAACAGAACATATCACTTTGGGTATCCCATATATAACCTTGAGTACCGAGAAAAGCGTCTGCTGCTTCTCCTGTTGCTTCTGCTACTGCCCATTCAATTAATTCATATTCAGCCGAAAAGCTCAATGTAATCGAGACGCACACAAATGCTAATAACAATGGACGAGCTTGAATGATCGCTTGTCTTATTAATATTTCACGTACGATCAACACCGGTATAAAGCCTTGTGCAAAGTGGCCAATCTTATCGTAATTGTTTCGTTGCATATGAAATACATCTCGAAGACGATTGAAAAATGGAACTTCAGCATATGTGTAATGGGCACCGATCAAGAGAATCACACAATGAATGAAGACAAGCAATTGTACAAGATTCGTAAATTGAAAACGCGGCGAAACAAAGATCATCGCCATGACACCGAGCACGGCAGGAAGAATTTCCAGAAACCAAACAAATTCATCGTACGGTTTAATGGACGAACGCACTAAAATAATGCAGAATGCCAAGAGCAGAAGTATTGCAAGACGTCGGGAAGCTGGTGGTAGCATATCTGAAGACATAGAGGTTTTTTTTATTCATAGGTGTTTCTTATTTTCAGGTTCATTATCTGTGTCTCATTCACATATATATCAGTTTTAGGAACAAATAGACGACAGAAAACGAAATGTTATTTTAGCAGAACTAGTGAAAGTAACGCAGAGAGTCCACTTTATTATCGACAAAGAGAAAAAAGTGCAGATATTAGAAAGAAAGAAAGATGGTGATCATATCAAACGAAAGTAAGTCTCATATATACATGTATACGGACTCTGAGTAATAATTGGTAATGACTGTAAAGTGAGTATACAGAAGAGTAAGGAGCAAAAAAAGACAAAAACAAAGATCTAGAATATATGGGTTTTGATTCTATCGTTGTCTGGAAACCCGCAGAGAGAAAGAAAGATTACATGCAAATATACATTACTATTCAAATGAATTGTTTGTTTTCTTTGTGAAAACAATAAACATCCAAACACAGCGAGAAAATACATAAAAGTTTTCTCCATAATTTTTATCGTCACCAACTTATTTGTGGATGGATTTGTGGTCATAGTGGATGTTGTTGAAAATGTACTTATTGATTCAATGAACCGTTATCACCATGATGAATAGCCTCATTATTCGTAGGATCGTCTTCAACTCTGTAAAAAAACCCTCGAATAATAAACTAGAGGAGGGTGTGTGAGTTTGAGTATCAATGAGGGTACACATATGATCAGTACTCACACCCACAGCCACATAAAAACACGATTATGGTTTTTTTTTTATGTTAAAAATGGGGTAAGTCTATCAAGAAAAGTCTTTCTATCGTATTCAGCTTCTGCGTTGATTGAGTTTAGTCACGAGTAGATAAAAAATGTTGTGCTTAGCTTGAAAAAAACCAAGGAAAGTTGTGTCATACACCATAATATCGAAGCATAAATAGTACATAGATGTAATGATCAGTGAATGATAGTCATGGAAAGTGAAATAGCTTCACGCATTTCTGTCACATAATAATAAATAGTCTGTATGATCAATTACATTAAAACTAGAAGAGAATCGTGAGAAAAAAAAATTTGTTTTGAAAGCAAACACTGACTACGCTATACCAACGACAAAAAAATGTGATTCATTGGCAACATAACGATGCATAGGCCTAGATTTGCCTTGAGCAAGAAATAAATCGTTCTTCTGTTATTGATTCTCTTTTTTTCTTCCTCGTTACTGATTCATTGCTGTCTCCAATAAAGACTAAAAAGCACAGAAGCGAAGAACTTGCATCATTCGATCGAGAGTTGTGCAGGATATCTATGTAACGACGCTGCAGAAATCGAGCGAAAGAAAGAAAAGAATATTGGAGACATGCAAAAAGAAGGCCGTTGCCATGCTTATTTTGCATACATAGTGACCCAAGAAGCGTATATAAGAAAAGAAAGTGACAGAAAGAAAAAATTACATTCAGCATTTTAGAGAGAAGAGCAGCTTGACCTTTATTCGACGCTATTTTTCTTATTGAATAATGTACCATATGTTTGATAATAGCTGAGATTTTTCAAGACACAGAGACAAAGAAACATACGCTCAAGGGCATCACATAAAGCATGACTGTTCTAGTCGTTAGCAACATGAATGAAGCAGAAAATACTGAAAAAGAAATTTTCTCTGTTGTAAACTTGCCTTTGTCGTTGTCAACAAGGGTAGCAACGCTTCATCTTGCGCTTTATTATTTTACAACGACAACAGAGCGACAAATATAAATCAAGAGTTGAAAAAAAAACGCATAGTTTTGTCTCACACTGTGTTCTTCATTAGGCTAAAGGAGAACACTGCAGCAAGAGGAGGCAGAAAAGAAAAACATGCGAAAAAATAATTTCAAAAAATAAACAACGTAAAAGAACTGAGACGCAATATTCATGTAGATAGCACAAATTCTAAAGAACAGTGGGAATAAAGTTAGACGCGCTCATTGTCGGTTTCTTATTTTGTTGTCTGGCCTATATTTTCTATCTTTTGTATTGTTCTGAGCATCGATACGCATATAGTGGCTGTTCAGCGAAAGAGCGCCAATGCCGAATACTTAAGTTCGACCAAGATGCTATGTCAAATGGCTTTTACCTTCAAGATATGTAGACAAAAATAGATTCGAATAGAAATTCTATCTCAATCAGAAAATAAACATGTTGCTCAATGAAATTTTGATAGAAAAAAGACAATTCGATTTGAACTCATGCAGAAAGAAGACGTATAGTATTAAAAAAATTCCAAAAAAATTTATTTCAGTTTTATTAGATATACATCTCCTAGTCTATAGACGAGATCGAAGAAAAAGTAAATAATACAAGAGACTCCATTTCTCGCATGAGCAAAACAAATTCATCGGATCGATCGTGCAATACAGGTACTTGAACTTCGTTGGTATTCCTGTTCTGGATTTTCGTAACTGAAAACTAAGCAACAAGACCATCAATAGCTCCATCCGACGAACCGAATCGGGGCGAGGCTTTACAAGAGCGATCTCTCACATAGCGATACGATCACTACCATCTTTTCTAGTCCTTTTTCGCATCACTATATTGCCTGTTTGTCTTGTCCACGGATGTAACAAACTGCATGATTTCTTCACTTATCGGACTCGTTCGTCCTTGCTGAGTCCATATACAAAAAAAGCACACAGCATTGGCATTGCATCCATCGCTATTTAGTCTTCTGCTTGATTACACGTTCATTCAAACGAACAAAAGAAACATCTGAACGGAAAGCCTTCAATTTCCGATCATTCTTTTACTGATGCAGCTTTGAATTCATTTTATGACCAATGAATTCATTCAATTGTCGAAACTACTCTCGTGTAATGGATATCTTAAGTAACAATTGTAGCGAGTAATGCTGATTTCTTTTCGAAAGCATTCTCAGACCCAGAAAACGATGGTCAACCGACTCCATTAACACTATCAAGATATCTATCTCAATTTCATTCATCGCCTCCGTTATTGTTCTCAAGAGAGTTCTTGAGTAACACCTTAAGTTATTGATTTTCTATGGACTTTTCAGATTTTTCTTCATTGTCTTCTCCAAGAGAGTGATGCCGCCATCCGCATCGATGATGCTAAAGGTCAATATAAGATACAGCACGGTCGATTAAATTCAAGCTTTTTCTCATGAACAATTCGACGAATTATGATACCTACTATCTTCCTCTCTTGACAGCATTGTATGTAGGAGCCATTGCACGGTAGGCACGACCAACCGTGCTCAATTGTTCTCACGGATTTCGATGAAACTTTGCCAGTATGCAGCCTCAAGTAAGATATAAAAACGCCCAAAATTTCAGCTTCTAAAACCGTTCTGTTCTAGAGATATTGCAATCACAATACAGGCACCCTCAGGTAAAAAATGACAATAATCAATGTAGTACCTATACATTGTATAGGTACGCCATTATTCAACAATAATGTTTTTAGCCTTGAAATTTTGTGGATATATACTACCGTGGGTACCCTACATACTGGTATACTCAAAATCATTTTTTGACGTACTAAGCAATATAGAGGTATTTCATAGGTTTTAGATATACTCTCGACATTGTGATTAGGATTTCTATCGCTTATGACCGAGTCGTGAGCTGCCGTTTTGGAACTAAGTACTACTAACTCTCAACTATTAGCAGCAATTTTCAAAACCGTGGGTATTTGTCTTTGACCCGAACAAAAATCTTTTCTATTACATATAATGGCTAGTTTTGGTAAAATTGGGGTCCACTTCTGAAAAAGTCACCAAGTAGAGATCAGCAGATTCTACTCATTTTGACATATGTTGTAGAGGAAAGAATTTTAGGAATTTTGACGCAAAACGTTTCAAAAAATATTGTTCCGTTATCGAGATATTAAAATTTTTCTAAGAGCACTATAATCATGCAACAATCACATTTTTAATGATTTGCATGGTCTGATCTCCTAAGACATACAATGTGTAGAAGTTGGACTCATGTAGGTTTGAAGCACTCACTGAATACTGCAATGTTATGAAAAACTTGCCATCAAATCTCCTAGAAGATCCAAGGATACTGGTTGAGAAATACCGCGAAATGAGATCTCTATAGAAAAACCACCGGAGGTCGCTTAGAAATTACTCAAAGAGTTTCATCGTATGAGATAAATTATACCTAGTAAAAATCAGTATATGATCCTCTATTACCTTCCGAAAAAACACTCTTTTAAAACGAAAAAAATTTTTTTTTCAAAAATCCCCCTACTCTCTTCAAGGCATTTTGCTGGAAATCTCTGTACCCCCCCCCCCATACGGGGATTTTTGAAAAAAAATTTTTTTCGTTTTAAAAGAGTGTTTTTTCGGAACGTAATAGAGGAGCATATACTGATTTTTACTAGGCGTGATTTATCTCATATGATGCAAATCTTTGAGTAATTTCTAAGTCAGTTCGAGTGCTTTTTCTATAGGAAAGGTCTCATGTTTCGGTGCTTTTCAACGAGTACCCCAGTACCATTCTAAGAGATCTGATGGCAGCTTTTCATAACATTGCAGTATTCAGTGAGTACTTCAAACCCACATGAGTCCAACTTCTACACATTCTATGTCTTGGGAGATCAGACCATGCAAATCATTAAAAATGTGATTGTTGCATGATGATAGTGCTCTTAGAAAAATTTAAATATCTCCATAACGGAACAATATTTTTTGAAACGGTTTGCGTCAAAATTCTTAAAACTCTTTCCTCTACAACATATGTCAAAATGAGTAGAATCTGCTGATCTCTACTTGATGACTTTTCCAGAAGTGGACCCCAATTTTACCAAAACTAGGCATTATATATAATAGAAAAGATTTTTGTTCGGGTCAAAAGCAAATACTCAAGGTTTTGAAAATTGCTGCTAATAGCTGAGAGTCAGTAGTACTTATTTCCAAAGTGGTAGCTCATGACTCGGTCATAAGCGATAGAAATCCTAATCACAATGTCAAGAGTATATCTAAAATCTATGAAATACCTTTATATTGCTTAGTACGTCGAAAA